GAGTCACCATGGGCCTCTTGGCTGCCTCTCTGATCAGTGATCTCCTTGTTCGGCCTGTAACAACTTTGTGTTGGTCTTTCACATTAAATTCCAGTGAAATATATTTATGTTTGTGGTTGTAATGTGACAAAATATGGAAAAGTTCAAGGGGTATGAATACTTTTGCAAACCACTGTATTTGTTAAAACCACTACGCACTGACAGTAGAATATGAGACAGATAATCTTTGAAAAATAAAGCTCATCTGGCTCCTCCCAGTGGTCCTACTACTATGTTCAGAAATATGCCGCTCCCGGTCAGAAACGGCCAATCAGAGCCAGGAGGATCGTATAACCAGTGTCAATCACACTCGTGTACACGCTGCAGCTGTTCTAATGGTGGAGAAATAACCTAAGGTTACAGGAAAACTGCCTCTTTCTGAGAGCTCTGAATGTGCTATAGCAGTTTATCCACTGTCATCTGTGGCCCTGCTGTTCACCAGCCTGCCTGTTTACAGCAGGCTGAGCTGTGGGGGAGGAGCTGTGGAGGGAGGGCTGTAGATAGAGAGCAAGGTGGGAGGAGCCTGTAAGGTTTGTTTTTTCAGATTTTAAGGCTATGTACTATGGAGGTAGAATTTTGGTTTAATTTTCAGATCTGGATCCAATCCAAAAATATTCAACTACCTACTTTCACCTCAAAGGACATCTTATTTGGAATGTTTAATGTTTGTGGCAGTAAAGAATATGGTATCAATATTTTGATTATTTTAGCCAAACATTATTATTACACAAATGCTGTTTCTTTAAATGTAAACCTAATATGTCCCATTGGAGGAATGCTTTAAAATCATATGCAAAGTCTTTAAAGTTTGTAAAGGAAAAAAAGGCAGGTAAATTTATTTCCTTTTTGGAAAGTTTTAATTTCCTTTAAATAAATCCGTTCTCATGTTCAAATGATAACACAATAATTGATGCTGGCCTTTGTTAGTATATGTTCTTTATTTTGTTCTTTTTTTTCTAATGTTAATTTTATGTTTACTCATGTTATAAAGCGCCTTTTTGAATGTAATTGTTCAGTTTAATGAGTAGGTACCTTTTTGTTATGTAATGAAAACTTGTAAAAAAAAAAGATTTTTTTGGAAAAAACAAACAAAAAAAGCTGTGGAGGACCGAAACTAACATATTTAGAAATAAAAGCAGAAATATACAAATGGACCAATAGATAAATAAATACACTTAAAATGCACCAAAAAGGAGAACTTTTACTCATGTTTTATAATTCAATTCTGTGTTTCCCAACCCTGGTCCTCAAGGCACACTGCCCTGCATGTTTTAGGATTCCCTGCTTTAACACACCTAATTCTTCTTCTTCTTGAGTTATTTTTTGGTGGTTTGTAAATGACTGTAAGATGCATTACCGCCACCTACTGGTGAGGAGTGTGGACTGGATCAACATACATACATACATACATACATACATACATACATACATAC